ATAATGAAAAAAACGCGATTTATACCACAAAAGGTGTCAGTGCAGGTCAAGACACAACTAAGAAAAAATGAGAATAAAATCAAAGCTATTTCAATAGTAAGAACATATTAACTGATCTTTAGAAGTTATCAAGAGTCGGAGACGTTATAATCTATCGAGGCAATCTATCCCAAAGCCTCCAAATAGCAGTAAAAATGGCTAAAATGTAAACGTTCGACTTGCATCAAATGTCACTGAATTGAGGGTCATAAAAGTTAGCTCTTGCAAGTTGAAAGAAAATCAGGTAAAAACTTATAGAGAGGCTGTGATTTATCGGTTACAATCTTGTGTATGAGTGAAAGAGCCCAAATATCCCTACGATGCCCAAAGTCCATATTCAAATCAGATAGGAGAAATTTAATATATATATAAATAAATATTTACATACATTTACACACACATATATATGCAAGTTGGGTGTGCTGTACTAAACAGATGTACATGAATTGATATTCTACACACAGGTGTGTTCAAAAGTATGCACACATGTGCAAATGCAAATGTGTATATGAAGTTGCAAGGACATGGATCATAGATGAATTATTTCCCTCTTCGTAATGGTTTATTGATTATTGTGTACACTGAGTCTATTTTTTGATTCTCAAAAGGGGCTAAAGAAAAGGTAGGGTATTCTCGATGTACATTTTATTACATGTTGGCAATTATTCATATAAAAGATGTTGGTAGGAGATGGAACTTGCCATGTTGGTGTTGGGAAACCTCAAGACATTTTTTATACGATTATGTAAAATAATCAATTTAATGTGATACAGATGAATAACATTTCTCTGAAGAAATGCATCCTCACAATATCTAAGCTGTAAAAGATCCTCTAGCCGGAGAAGGGGTTGAAGGCGCGAGCGGGCGCAGAGTAGCTGTAACCGCAGTCTCCTTTGACGGTTTGGGTGGCCGTCACAGTGTTATACTGTTCCCTGTATACAGTAGAAGTCACGTAATTGGTGTTGTAGACGATTCTGGTGTTGTATTGAGTGCGGGTCTGACCGGCCAGTTGTTGTGTCCTGACAGAGGTTTGAGTGACGGTAACGTAGCGTGTCTGAGCGGGAAGGTTGATGTAGGAAGACGCTGTCCTCTGAGCGTAGATGGTTGTAGGAACCACTCGGGTAGAAACCTGTGTCCTGACGACCTGCTGAGGAACGGTGACAATCCTTGTGTTGTATTGTGGCACCTGTTGTGTACGAACGACGGTGGAGACTCGCTGTTCTACTTGTGTACGTGTTACGTACTGAATCTGCGTGTTAGTGCGAACCACCTGCGAGATGACGGTGGTGGTGACTGGAACCAGCTGTGTAGAAGTGATGACTCGAGTCTGGCCGGGCTGTGTGATGGTTTGTGTGACGACGTTGGTCCTGACAAGCTGGGTAGTCCTGACGACGTTCTGTGCAGGTATGACTACAGTAGAATAACGAGTGCTGTACTGAGTAGTGGGTACAATACGAGTCTGATCTGGCAACTGCTGTGTCCTTATAACCGTCTGTGTTCTGTAGACGGTGCTGACCACCTGCTTCGGTACCACCTGTGTTGAGACGACGTTTCTAACAATGGTGGTTGGTACCTGCTGGATGCGAGTCTCATACCTTGTCTGGTACTGCACTTGGGTCCTGACACTCTGCTGAGTACTAGTCACGTAGTTGACCTGAGGAGGAAGAGTGACGACCTGTGTGCGTAGGTTTTCTGAGTGCGAGTGACAGTGATCGTTTGGTATCGCACTGAAGGAACCTGCTGAGTGCGGACGATCTGTGAGTATAAGGTGGTGAGGACTTGCTGTGTGCGGACGGATGTTTGTGTGATGTACTGAACGTTTGTCTTGTAGACGGTTGATGGGACGACGACGGTGGAATACTGAACCTGCGTGCGGTAAACGACAGATGGCTTGCAGTCAGCTTCTTCCTTTGGCGGCAGATAGGAGGACTCGAGGTTAATGCGAGCTCCGAAGACCTGACGGCGAGGCCTCTCGACGGACGCCCCGAAGGCGCAGCCGACCAGCAGGGAGAGCAGCAGCGTCCTCATCCTAAGGAATACAATGTTAGCATTACACTAGTTGAGTTAATCGAAAGCGATTAAAAATAAAAATCAAAGTTGACGGGTAACTGACATGGAATGAATATAGAAATTTAAATATGAAATAAGCTAATTTCACCTAAAACTATTGTCACCCATATAGAACAGAAGTAGAATGATGGCAAGGAAAGTGTTGCATAAAAATACAAAATCAATCATGTATGAATTAATAGCAAGTTGAAGATACTTACTTTGGAGTGCCTGTAATACATAGCGTACTATATACAAAGGAGTAATAAAAGTTCATTTAGGAATACTGGTGTGTATTTCACATTTACAATGGGAAGGCAAATATGAACAGATTTGCACAAACGGTTTCCTCGTGGATAGATAGTATAAATCAAGATGATCTAAACCTTGTGGCATAAAGTTTTTTTTTTTT